CCCCAAAACCCCAAAACCCCAAAACCCCAAAACCCCGAGTGAAGTGGCAGAGATTGATGCTCCAGAATCTTGTTAATAGCTCTGTTTCGTATGAGCTTATTTAACTTTTTCGATTTCTTGCTCGATAACTTTTTCAATGTTCTCCATGGTTTTGCTGGCTTTAGCTTCCAAGCCTGCATCTTGATAGACTCAGTATCTAAACTTGCTGTTGTAAGTCACTCCTAGGATTGATATACCAGCCTTAAAAACATTTGGTGTAATGAAATAAGAGTCTGACATCAAATATTTGCCAATTGTAATCTGTTGCTTCAATCCCGAAATATTTGAAACTACCATCTGTCCGCTTTTAGACAAGATCTTTATCAACATATCATTTAAAGCATTTGGCATAAACTTTAGTAATGCTTGAATGTTCTGAGAAGACCACATGAGAGATACTTTAAATCTATCTTGGAGAACTTTTCTTCCCCTTTTCATACCATCTTGGAGATCATCAGAGCAAGGAAATTCACATTCTCCAAGACCAATTCAATTTTGAAGTGGAAGAGGAACCTCCAGATCCTTTGGCAATGGCCTTAGATTGACTGGCACTCCAACCCCAATAGTCTGGAAATCAGGGTATCCAAGTTCTTTGGCGTATTGCTTCATTCCTTTTCCGATTCAGCCGACGAAAAAATCATTGAACTTTGCATTATTATAGCTTTTATAGCATTTCCTATAATTATAACCACAAGCTGAGCTTACCTCAATTGGTCAAAATGATACGTCTTGGAGATCTCCAGAGCCTTCTTTCCTGAGTATCCACTCTTAAGGGTATATGGACTTGGATCATTTTTAACCGAAATGTCAATAAATAGAGAATACACAAAGAGAATTGGAGATATCACAAATAGTAAGGCTTTTAGCGAGAAGCTGATATCCTTCATTTCTGGAATGGCTGGCATATTAGAGTTCCCATCAATAGATGATAAAAAGCACATGGTTCCCATCCCGTCTAAAATTCCATGATGAGCTCTCGCGAACATGACCATTTTGTCATCTTTGTAATTCTCATGAACATGAAGGTCCCATTGCAGTTCTCCCCTTGGCATTGGGATTTCTGAAAACTTTAAGAGGTATTTGACAAGATCCTCCTCGGTCTTCATATCATGATCAATCTTTTTGATCCTGTTTCCAGTAATTTTTTTAGTTTTTGGAGTATCAGGAAGTACCTTCCAAAATTTCATTCCAAATTTTTCAATCATGACAGATCTAAACACTTCATTGTGAGCTCCAAAATGATTGATAAGATATTTTTCTCTAAGATGGGTGTAATGATCTTGACCGTCTAGATCTTTCTTTGATTTCTCATTCTTATCAAGAATAAGAGCTCATGTACAAATAGTCGTGTTCTTTGGTTCCTCGAGATACATAATCACATCTGTGCCCCTCATTATCTTGACATTGAAGAACTTCCAGAGAAGAATATCTGCCAATTTGTACAAGGCAAAGATAACAAAAATTCCAGGTAAGATTCCACATGTTCAAAGGATGAATAAGTAGATTCCAATGTGAATTATGCCTGCTAAAATGTTTGGTGGTAGCGCCATACGTTGCAGATAAATCAATTAATTCTTCAAGTAATCTCCTACCATTTGGGGTTTTGGGGTTTTGGGGTTTTGGGG